GCAAAGGCACTTAAACACACCACTTCACAGAGGAATAAATAGAAAAGGGCCAGCTCAGCTGAGCCTCATTAGAGAATCAAAATCGTTGTCATGTGTGTTCACCGTCTCCGCACTCTGCAGCACGTCGAGTTCAGCGGGAGGAACGGTGAGAAAACAAATCAAGTTAAAAGGGAGAGAGAGAGAACAAGTTAAAAAAAAAATTAACGCGGTCACGCGCATGCGCACCCCCCGCTGTTCCGCAGACGCGACAGCGGCAACGGTGGCGCCTCGCCAGCGACCTTTAATACGGCGAGTCAGGCATCTTTGCAAAAGGCTCCATCTCCGCTTCTTGCACGGTCTGGAATCCACTCACCTCTCTATCACGCTGACGCCGGCGATAGAAGCGCACGCCAAAGCCCACTGCAAGTCCCACCAAGAGCCCACCCACAGCACCCAGCACGCACCACAGTGGGATCAGGTTGCGTCCAGACTTCTTCTTCGGCGGGGCTGATGTGCTCGACACCGCGGGGCACGCATTCGCGCTCGCGCAGTCCCGCGCAGTCAACGCGGCATCCGCAGCCACCGTCTTCGACTTCCACCCCGCGGGCAGGCACCCGCACAGGCCCGTCCCCTTCAGGTCGACGCTCACCAGCTTCGTCATGCCGCCCCAACTATCAGGCACGCCACCGGACAGCGCGTTGCCGCTCACGTTCAGGCTGCGCAGCGACGTCATCTCGCTCCAGGCAGACGGCAGCGTGCCGGTGATGGCGTTGCTCTGCACGCGCACCGTCTGCAGACGCGCCAGGCGGCCCCAGCTCGCAGGCAGCGTCCCCGCGACCCGCGAGCCCTTACCGTACACGCTCAACTCCGTCACCGCAACCTGCTGCCCGTCCACGTCCGCCGCGAGCTCAGGCAGTCGCACGGTCGCCGTCGACGTTACAGTCTTCATCAACGCGGCGACCTTCGTCCGTGACACAGCTGTCGCCAGCGGCAGCGGTGACAGGTCCAGCTGCACCGCACCGTCCGCAGAGCACTTCACGTACGCCCAGTCGCAGTAGCTGCTCCCGGTCCACCGCATCGCCAGACTCGGGTCCATCGTCGAGAACGCCTGCAGGAACTTCAAGGTGTTTCGCTGCTCCTGCGTCGGCGCAGCGGTGGTCGTCGTGGTCGTGTTGTGCACGTCGCACGCGTTCTTATCGCTGCAGTTGGACGAAGACACCGCGGCATCCACGGTAATGTCAATGTTGTAAGTTTTCTTCGACCAACCATCGGGGAGGCATCCGCACAGATGGTTCCTGCTCAGATCAGCAATGATGTACGTCCACTGGGCCGCCCATTGTGCAGGGATCGAGCCTGTAAATTGATTTGCTGCGAGGTATAGGGACCGCAGGTACTCCACGGAGGCCCAGTCTGCAGGCAGCGAGCCAGAGAGGGCGTTGCTCGAAAGGTTGAGTGTACTTAAGCCGGACATCGTCTTCCACTCTGCCGGTAGTGTGCCGGTCAACGCATTGCTCGAAAGCCGAAACCAGCGAAGCTTCGACAGGAACCCCCACTGGCCAGGAAGGCTGCCCTCAAGGCGGTTGCTGCTCAGGTCCAGTGACTGCAGCGCAGCCATCCCGCTCCAGTCCGCAGGCAGTGAGCCTGTCAGTGCGTTGCCGCTCAAGTCCAGCATCCGCAGGCGGGTCAGGCGGCCCCAGCTCGCGGGCAGTTTGCCCGTGACATTCTGGCCAAACTCATTCACGGAGATCTCATTGAAGATGACGGCGGAGCCGTTCACGTCGGCACCCAGCTCAGGCAGCTCCAACGATCCGGTGAACACCGGGGAGTTGAGGGCGCCAAAGTTAAGCACATTCGAGTAGGTGCCGCACCGCACGTACGGCCATTCACAGTAGTAGATGCCGGTCCACCTGCTCGCAAGAAACGGGGTTTTGGCCGCAAAGCCACGCAGGAACTTCAGCGTGCTCTTCTCCTCCTCCGTCATCCCCGCCATGCTGTCAGAGCTGCCGCTGCCGTCGACACACCTGTATGCGGTGCGGCACTTCGGCGATGTCACCGCGTCATCGGCTCGGACGTACGGAGGATATCCCGGCTTCCAGGCGCTCGGCACGCACCCGCAGAAGTCGTTGCCCGCCAGGTAGATGTCCTGCAGTGACTTCATGTTGTTCCATTCTTCAGGAATCGCACCGGCCAGCGAGTTGTTGTTCAGCCGCAACTCGTTCAAGGTCGGCATCGCGGCCCATTCGACGGGCAGCGTGCCCGAGAGCGCATTCGCGGCCAGGTTGAGAGTGTAAAGCTTCGTCATGGCGCTCCAGTTCGCAGGCAGTGACCCGTTCAGTGCGTTGCCGCTCAAGTCCAGCGTCCGCAGGCGGGTCAGGCGGCCCCAGCTCGTGGGCAGTGCGCCCGTCACGCTCGCACCCTTGCCGTGCAGCTCGAAACTCGTCACGTCCACAAGGCTGCCATCGATGTCCGACGTCAGCTCCGGCAGCTGCACCGAGCCAGAGAGCGTGACGTCGTTCAGCGTGACGGATGCAAGTCCGCTGGAACCGCACTTCACGTTCTGCCAGCCGCAGTACCACACGCCACCCCAGAGGCTCCGCAGCTCCCCGCCCACAGCAGCCCGCACCAGCCGCAGGAACTTCAGCGTGTTCTGTTCGTTCGCCGTCAGCATCGCGATCTCCTCGGAGTCGTCCGCCGCGGAGGCCGAGCCGGAGCTGTGCGCCTCGCACACGTTTGCAGTGGTACAGTTAGCAGCGGACACCGCAGGATCAACAGTGGGGGGATAAGAACCGTTCTTCAGTTTGGTAGGAACGCATCCGCACAGCCTGTTGCTGCTCAGCTCCAACGTATACACCCGCAGCTCGCCCCACCGCTCAGGGATCGAGCCCGTTAGCTGGTTATTGGACAGATCCAGAGACCAAAGCGCCGTTAACGCCACCCACGCCGCAGGCAACGTGCCGGAGAGCGCATTGCTGTTGAGGTACAAATCCTTCAGTGAGGACATGCGAATCCACGCAGCAGGCAGCGCGCCGGACAGCGAGTTGTTGTCGAGCCGCAAGTCCTTCAATTCAGACAATAACCTCCACTGACCGGGAAGGCTGCCCTCAAGGCGGTTGCTGTTCAGGTACAGTGACTGCAGCGCAGACATCCCGCTCCAGTCCGCAGGCAGCGGGCCATTCAGTGAGTTGTAGTTCAACCGCAGAGTCCGCAGCTTCCTCAGGCGGCCCCAGCTCGTGGGCAGCGTGCCTGTAACCTGTTGCCCAAACCAACTCGCAGAGATTTCCGTGAAGATCACGGCGGAGCCATTCACGTCCGCACCCAGCTCAGGCAACACCAGCGATCCCGTGAACGCCGGCCGGCTGTAGGCCTTGAAACTCAGCGTGCTCGCTAAATAGCCGCATCTCACGTACGGCCACGAGCAGAAGTCCGTGCCGGTCCAGCTGGTCTCCAGAGTTGAGCCCGCTATCGCAAAGCCCTTCAGGAACGCCAGCGTGTTCTTCTGCTGATCGGCGGTGTAGTCGGTGGTGGAGGCCGCGGAGACAAAGAGGGCGTTCACGCACAGCACCAGCAGCGCACCGGCCACCATCATGCGACGCAGCGGGTACTTGAGACACGCCATAGGTCGCAGTCAGAGAGGTGAGGGAGGAGGTACGGAAGAGGAAGGAAGAGGTCGCGGTGAAGAGCTTCGTACAGCTTGACAGAAACGAGAAAGTCGGTCGTCGCACGTGGGGCTTGCGCTTGTGGAGTGTGCCGCAGTGACGAATGCTGCTGAAACAGCTGATGTATTAAAATTAAACAGAAAAGAGAAAGTGTGTGTTTAGCGAAAAGAGATTATGAAGAGAGGCGTAGTGAAAGAGAAGGCCTTCAAGCTGCGGCGGTCGGCGCCGCGGTGGAGCAGTGCAGGAAGAAAGGGAGGGGAAAAGAGAAGAAGCGCATGGAGCGGCGAGCAAGGCAGCGGACGAGAGAACATTTGTGGCGGCGTGCGTCGGCGTGCACGCAGCAGGCAACGCCGCAGGGCTGCACCACAACCACGCACCCCATCGTGCGCACGCAAACACGCACACCCGCACACCAGTCGCGCTACACCACGGGAGGGCAGCAAGCGATCCCCCTTCACCGCCGCGGCTCGAGAAAAAGACCGCATGGCGGCGCCGGCACAGCAGGCGGCACGCAGCAGACTCCGCCCGGTCGGCACAACCCGCTTCGCGTACGTCGCTCAGCATTCATTAGAACTGTTACCGTCAGCGAGTGAGAAAGTGTTTCGCTGACGGGGGCACCCGCCCCCGCGTCTTCACCGGTGCGAGTCGCCCCTCCTTCACAAGCGCTCGGTATGTGCACCGGCAGCACTTGGCCCGTCACAGCCTGCACGGTCCGCCGGTACACACCGGGCAGGCGGCATTCACCCAGCACAGCGCAGCGACCTCGCTCGGCTCCCGCGCCGCCACGCGTGTCCGCCAAACGCCCCGCCCCTCCCGCCCAACGAAGGACCACACACAGCTGAGAGTCAGCGGCGGCGCTCTCGCTCACCGCGTGGACGTGCGCCACCGCCATGCTCGCAGTGAAGGCACAAGGGGGTCATGGTGATCGCATCGTACTCGGTGCGCTACAGGCGCAGGCCAAGACACCAAACGCATTCGCACTCCCCTCCGTCGCGGCCACCACGCCACGACGCGCTGCGGCGGCCTCGCGCGAGAGGGCGTCCGGGTACGCCAGCGAAAAGGGACTGAACGGCCACCAGTGCGGCATGTGGCGTCACGTCTGCTCATCTGCGGGCGCTGAGCAACGCCGATGGTGGCCCTCCGTTCTCCCTCACTGCCGTAGCACCGACTTCCGCCAGCGTCAGCCGGACGTTTTGCACCAGGCATCAAATGCAGCAGGCACAAAGAGTAGCACCGCGCAACACACGAGGGGCGTCAACAAGAAGCCACGAGTCCCGTTGGCGGCTGCAAGCACCAGCGGCACAGCCTCCACGTCCAGCGGTGTCGCCGTCTTTCGATGCAGCAGCCACGCAGCACCAGCCGCCGTCAGTACCGCTCAGTCCTCTCCAGGTGCGTCAGCAGCAGAGAGGTGCGGAGTCGCACGAGGGAGCCGCCGGACGCACAGAAACATCGACAAGACATCGTTGCCCAGCACACTGCCCACACCGCCCCGCGAGTGCCCGGGGCCAAGCCCACCACGGAGCCCCGGACACGAAAGCCGTGCATCACCACTTTGCCAAAGGGCCGTTGGGCACTTCCTTCCTTCCACCTCCCCGCGCGCGGCTTCGACCACCCGATACACCCCACGCCCCGCAGAACAGCAAAGGACGGAAACCGGGAGCGCAATTCGGGTGCGGCGGAAGGAGGGGGCTGGGGGTGCACGGGAAACCGCAGAAGCATCGCGCAAACGCACCTTCGCGTCCTAAGGTGGGACGGTCCGCTTCATGTTACAGCGGAGAGAAGAGAGAAAGGAAGGAAGGAAGGAAAGAGAGGAGAGGAGAGTGAACGGCGCCATCATTCAAAACGCGAGCGCACCCGGCATCCAGCGCAGGGAAACCCGCCCAGCACACCATCATCCCTTCGAGCCTCGTCGCCACAAACGGCGCACCGTGGATGGTGCAGAGAGGGCAGCCAGCGGCACCCTCCATCCACACCACGCCGCACCGCGACACGCTCGTGATGCCGTCGCGGCTCCGACGGCACAGCACGGTCGAGGGACACAAGGCACAGGCGCAGCGGAGTGCGCCGACGGGCGTCGTGTCGGCAGTGAGAAATTCGGAAGGGAGAAGGAACCTACGTGTGGAACCATATAGAAATAGAAATAGAAATAAAAAGTCTCGAAAACAAGAGGGGGGCGGAGGGCCAACACACGCGCACGGGAAGCCAGCGCCCCAGCGCAGACGAGCAGCCGGTCGTGAGAGACGCAACGCTCGCTCCGCAAGCCGCGAAAATGAAGTCAAGCACAGGTGCACCGACGTGCCTGTGCGACGCGCATGAGAAGTCCTCGCCCACACCTCCGCCACACCGATAACCGGGCTGCCACGGCGGACACACCGCCCTGCCCAAGGACGGCTCCGTCGCCCACTCCGGCAAACAGGTGCCACGGTGCGGCGCAGTTCGAGACACAAGAAACAGAATCAGGAAACAAAGGAGTAAAGAAAACTTTGGCCAACGACCGTCGCACTCGCAGAAGCCAGTGCGGCTGCTCGCTTTAAAGAAAAAGAAAAGGTTGTGTGAGAAAATGCTATCTTCATTGTTGATTCAGCGCAGGTCGTGCGGCAGGCAGCGCCTCTGTGTCGTCAGCCATCGACGGCGCTCCAGCACGTGGAACAAGCGCAATGAGGCGTGCTTGCCTACGTGCACGGCTGCGCGCAGGGCAGCGTCGCTCAGCTCCCCAGCTTCGCATTCATTCTGCGAGGGCCCCTAAAGAAAAAGACGGGAGCAAAAGAGGTGCCCTACAGAAAAGAAAGGCGTCGGACGCCAAAAGAAAGTTTTGATGTGAGTTACGGGAATAGCGCCGTTCAAACTGGAAGAGCAGCCGCGACAGCACTTGCGTTGACTGATAAAGTTGAAACACAGCAGCATTAACGATGCCACTGGAGAAGGAAGAGGAGCACAAGGTGACGCCAGGCACCTCTCGCACACGGGTGAGTGTGCAGTGCAGGTTGAACCGGTCGCCGCCACGGAATGAGGTCTCCGCGTGTTTCACCCTCAACGTACTTCACTGCGCCGGACAGCTCCGCAATGGGGAGGTGCGCCGCGGGAAGTAGAAGGCACGGACGTACCAGTGCGAGAGAAAACACACAAGACCAGAAGCCTAAAGGGAAAGAAGGAGTTTGAATTACTAATGTTGAACAAAGCATGAAGACGAGACGCCGCGGTTGAAAAAAAAGAACAGAAAATAAAACAGGGAAGACGCATGTATGTAATCGCGTTGGTGTTATGCAAGCTGCGTGGAGTGCACTCTCCTATGCATGTGGCGGTTGTACTCAACGGCGCGCTCAGCAACGCCTCGCCGCACAGGCAGCAGAGTCACGGGAAACAGGACAATCACAAACACCGCAAAGGCAAGAGAGGCGGCACGCAGTGCAGATGGAAAAGAAAAAAGAAGGAATGAAAAAAAAAAGAAATAAAAAAACGCCGAACGGCTGAGCAGCGAGCAGCGGACGTCTGCACATGTGTGGGTGGGTGGGTTTGTCTCGCAGACGGGAAAGCAAGTAGCCAGGAAAAATACACCGAGTAGAGGAGAGTGAACTCTGTCGCTCTCTGCTCCCCGCACGGCGGCTTCCCTTGGCGGCTCCACACGCACACACGCAGAAACATCTCACAGACGCATATTCACAAGTGCCCACGTCAACCACGGCCCCAGCAACGCAGATTAACTCGTGCAACCACTCCATGGGCACACACCGTTCATCCATATCCACGCAGAGATGCCGGCGTCAATTGAAAGATAAAAGAAAACTACTTTTTAGCAAAAGAGAAAAAGCGGGCGGTCGCGTGAAGAGAGGCTGAAGAAAAACCGATGAATTGGCAAAGGCACTTAAACACACCACTTCACAGAGGAATAAATAGAAAAGGGCCAGCTCAGCTGAGCCTCATTAGAGAATCAAAATCGTTGTCATGTGTGTTCACCGTCTCCGCACTCTGCAGCACGTCGAGTTCAGCGGGAGGAACGGTGAGAAAACAAATCAAGTTAAAAGGGAGAGAGAGAGAACAAGTTAAAAAAAAAATTAACGCGGTCACGCGCATGCGCACCCCCCGCTGTTCCGCAGACGCGACAGCGGCAACGGTGGCGCCTCGCCAGCGACCTTTAATACGGCGAGTCAGGCATCTTTGCAAAAGGCTCCATCTCCGCTTCTTGCACGGTCTGGAATCCACTCACCTCTCTATCACGCTGACGCCGGCGATAGAAGCGCACGCCAAAGCCCACTGCAAGTCCCACCAAGAGCCCACCCACAGCACCCAGCACGCACCACAGTGGGATCAGGTTGCGTCCAGACTTCTTCTTCGGCGGGGCTGATGTGCTCGACACCGCGGGGCACGCATTCGCGCTCGCGCAGTCCCGCGCAGTCAACGCGGCATCCGCAGCCACCGTCTTCGACTTCCACCCCGCGGGCAGGCACCCGCACAGGCCCGTCCCCTTCAGGTCGACGCTCACCAGCTTCGTCATGCCGCCCCAACTATCAGGCACGCCACCGGACAGCGCGTTGCCGCTCACGTTCAGGCTGCGCAGCGACGTCATCTCGCTCCAGGCAGACGGCAGCGTGCCGGTGATGGCGTTGCTCTGCACGCGCACCGTCTGCAGACGCGCCAGGCGGCCCCAGCTCGCAGGCAGCGTCCCCGCGACCCGCGAGCCCTTACCGTACACGCTCAACTCCGTCACCGCAACCTGCTGCCCGTCCACGTCCGCCGCGAGCTCAGGCAGTCGCACGGTCGCCGTCGACGTTACAGTCTTCATCAACGCGGCGACCTTCGTCCGTGACACAGCTGTCGCCAGCGGCAGCGGTGACAGGTCCAGCTGCACCGCACCGTCCGCAGAGCACTTCACGTACGCCCAGTCGCAGTAGCTGCTCCCGGTCCACCGCATCGCCAGACTCGGGTCCATCGTCGAGAACGCCTGCAGGAACTTCAAGGTGTTTCGCTGCTCCTGCGTCGGCGCAGCGGTGGTCGTCGTGGTCGTGTTGTGCACGTCGCACGCGTTCTTATCGCTGCAGTTGGACGAAGACACCGCGGCATCCACGGTAATGTCAATGTTGTAAGTTTTCTTCGACCAACCATCGGGGAGGCATCCGCACAGATGGTTCCTGCTCAGATCAGCAATGATGTACGTCCACTGGGCCGCCCATTGTGCAGGGATCGAGCCTGTAAATTGATTTGCTGCGAGGTATAGGGACCGCAGGTACTCCACGGAGGCCCAGTCTGCAGGCAGCGAGCCAGAGAGGGCGTTGCTCGAAAGGTTGAGTGTACTTAAGCCGGACATCGTCTTCCACTCTGCCGGTAGTGTGCCGGTCAACGCATTGCTCGAAAGCCGAAACCAGCGAAGCTTCGACAGGAACCCCCACTGGCCAGGAAGGCTGCCCTCAAGGCGGTTGCTGCTCAGGTCCAGTGACTGCAGCGCAGCCATCCCGCTCCAGTCCGCAGGCAGTGAGCCTGTCAGTGCGTTGCCGCTCAAGTCCAGCATCCGCAGGCGGGTCAGGCGGCCCCAGCTCGCGGGCAGTTTGCCCGTGACATTCTGGCCAAACTCATTCACGGAGATCTCATTGAAGATGACGGCGGAGCCGTTCACGTCGGCACCCAGCTCAGGCAGCTCCAACGATCCGGTGAACACCGGGGAGTTGAGGGCGCCAAAGTTAAGCACATTCGAGTAGGTGCCGCACCGCACGTACGGCCATTCACAGTAGTAGATGCCGGTCCACCTGCTCGCAAGAAACGGGGTTTTGGCCGCAAAGCCACGCAGGAACTTCAGCGTGCTCTTCTCCTCCTCCGTCATCCCCGCCATGCTGTCAGAGCTGCCGCTGCCGTCGACACACCTGTATGCGGTGCGGCACTTCGGCGATGTCACCGCGTCATCGGCTCGGACGTACGGAGGATATCCCGGCTTCCAGGCGCTCGGCACGCACCCGCAGAAGTCGTTGCCCGCCAGGTAGATGTCCTGCAGTGACTTCATGTTGTTCCATTCTTCAGGAATCGCACCGGCCAGCGAGTTGTTGTTCAGCCGCAACTCGTTCAAGGTCGGCATCGCGGCCCATTCGACGGGCAGCGTGCCCGAGAGCGCATTCGCGGCCAGGTTGAGAGTGTAAAGCTTCGTCATGGCGCTCCAGTTCGCAGGCAGTGACCCGTTCAGTGCGTTGCCGCTCAAGTCCAGCGTCCGCAGGCGGGTCAGGCGGCCCCAGCTCGTGGGCAGTGCGCCCGTCACGCTCGCACCCTTGCCGTGCAGCTCGAAACTCGTCACGTCCACAAGGCTGCCATCGATGTCCGACGTCAGCTCCGGCAGCTGCACCGAGCCAGAGAGCGTGACGTCGTTCAGCGTGACGGATGCAAGTCCGCTGGAACCGCACTTCACGTTCTGCCAGCCGCAGTACCACACGCCACCCCAGAGGCTCCGCAGCTCCCCGCCCACAGCAGCCCGCACCAGCCGCAGGAACTTCAGCGTGTTCTGTTCGTTCGCCGTCAGCATCGCGATCTCCTCGGAGTCGTCCGCCGCGGAGGCCGAGCCGGAGCTGTGCGCCTCGCACACGTTTGCAGTGGTACAGTTAGCAGCGGACACCGCAGGATCAACAGTGGGGGGATAAGAACCGTTCTTCAGTTTGGTAGGAACGCATCCGCACAGCCTGTTGCTGCTCAGCTCCAACGTATACACCCGCAGCTCGCCCCACCGCTCAGGGATCGAGCCCGTTAGCTGGTTATTGGACAGATCCAGAGACCAAAGCGCCGTTAACGCCACCCACGCCGCAGGCAACGTGCCGGAGAGCGCATTGCTGTTGAGGTACAAATCCTTCAGTGAGGACATGCGAATCCACGCAGCAGGCAGCGCGCCGGACAGCGAGTTGTTGTCGAGCCGCAAGTCCTTCAATTCAGACAATAACCTCCACTGACCGGGAAGGCTGCCCTCAAGGCGGTTGCTGTTCAGGTACAGTGACTGCAGCGCAGACATCCCGCTCCAGTCCGCAGGCAGCGGGCCATTCAGTGAGTTGTAGTTCAACCGCAGAGTCCGCAGCTTCCTCAGGCGGCCCCAGCTCGTGGGCAGCGTGCCTGTAACCTGTTGCCCAAACCAACTCGCAGAGATTTCCGTGAAGATCACGGCGGAGCCATTCACGTCCGCACCCAGCTCAGGCAACACCAGCGATCCCGTGAACGCCGGCCGGCTGTAGGCCTTGAAACTCAGCGTGCTCGCTAAATAGCCGCATCTCACGTACGGCCACGAGCAGAAGTCCGTGCCGGTCCAGCTGGTCTCCAGAGTTGAGCCCGCTATCGCAAAGCCCTTCAGGAACGCCAGCGTGTTCTTCTGCTGATCGGCGGTGTAGTCGGTGGTGGAGGCCGCGGAGACAAAGAGGGCGTTCACGCACAGCACCAGCAGCGCACCGGCCACCATCATGCGACGCAGCGGGTACTTGAGACACGCCATAGGTCGCAGTCAGAGAGGTGAGGGAGGAGGTACGGAAGAGGAAGGAAGAGGTCGCGGTGAAGAGCTTCGTACAGCT